ATATATATATATATATATATATGTATATATGGTACTTCAGTTTGTGTATCAAGGGCCTGGTTGAGTGGCTGGGCAGCTGGATGTAGTATTCCCCATGATGAGACTGGTAATCAACTCCATGGTGGAATCTACAGAGAGCAGCTGAGTACCTGCCTTAGGGATGTGATCTGCTTCCTGTATATAAGGAGAAGTCTTGGGAATGGTCTCTAGCTTATGGCACACTTGAACCCTGCATGTAGCCTGCCATGCTCTGCCGACCTTGGGTCTTAAATGGACTTAAATTAATGGCCTGCCGTATGATTTGGTAACATTGGGACTGTGCCTTTTTACTTGTCGACCCTGGGTTGGTCTGCCTCAGCAGCAGCTGAGTGAAGAAACACCTCTAGCTCCAGTGGGCCAGGAGCAGGAGCTGGACCCCAAGGTTGAGGGGCTTTCACCTAGCCCCTAGAGCCAGGCACTTTGAACTTGGACTTAAAGCCTCCAAACTATGAGAGAATAAACTCCTATTTGTTAAGGCCATCCCATTTGTGGTATATTTCTGTCAGAGTGGCACTAGGTAACCAAAACAATATTTATATTTATACATATATATACATTACATTTTTCAAACAGCTTTATTGACATATAATTTATATACCAATTCACTCTTTGAAAGTGTTCATCCCGTGGTATATCTGCTAGTTATTATTCTCCTTTTTTTCCTTTATTCAAAAACTTATTATTTCCACAGTATGAAAAAGGTCATCTATGTTGAAACTTAATTATATTTACCACTGAAATCACCAACCCAAAAAAATTGATGGCAGAAAGGAGAACTAGTTGCAGACTGAGTCAGAAGCCCTAGTTTAAAGTCTGTGTACTGTTTTGCAAGGTGTAGGGTCTGGTGGCCATTGCTTAACCTCTCTGGGTCTCAGTTTACTCTTCGGTAAAATGAAAGTAGTAATTCCTCACTCACACATTATCTCACAGCAAACCTATGAGATGGGTCGTATTAAAGGAAACAGAAGCTCACAGAGGTTAAATAGTTTGCTGAGGCTCACACAGCTAATGAGTAGCACCAGCAGGATCAAACCAGTTGGATGTGATTAATGATATTATGCTTAGAAGAATAAACAAGTGATTGTTGAATGTGTGGTTTCAATTCTTTACAATCATGTTATTTTAAGTCTTGATGCTGGGGACAGTATAAGGCACCATACCTTATAAAAACAAGTCTCTTACCTGTGACTTACAAGTAGCTCACCAGTATGCATAATAGAATCTTTATAAGTGCTTAATGACTATTCTGTTATTTTTAAATCCGTGCATGATTCTTCTTATGGATTGAATGGTGTTCCCCAAAAATTTGTATTGTAAATCCTAACTCCTATACTTGTGGTTATAATCCTGTTTGGGGATGGATTTTCTTTGTTAAA